CACACACACACCTTTACAACGCCCTCAGCTAACTTGCCCCACTCTGCAGCAGCTGGCGCTTTTTAGGGGTGCTATGCCATCCTCGAAGGATTTACTCTCTTCCAAAGGGGGTAACCTCCCAAGTTACTAAATCTGCTGGGAAAACTTAGAAAGGGTTTTCCTCTGGGACTCCTACTTTGCCACTTCTGAAAGTCTCCACCTGATTAAAATGCTTGCCAGGTATTTCCCTAAGCCATTCCTCCCTTGCCTCCCTTCCCCCTCTGGTTCCATCTTTGACAAGCCGGTTGCCACTGAGATCCAGCTGAACAAAGTTGGGGTGAGGGATGGATCCCCCGCGGTGGTGTGTGCTGGGCCTCTGGACTGGGCTGCATGGTCCTGGATACAGATTTTTTTGGGGGTAGAAGCAAATTAAATTGTCAAGTTTACACTGATGATCAAACGTTTAAGGTTCTTAGCAAGATCCCCATTACTCCACCTTTACTAATAGAAAAAGAGAAAGATGTTTCCTAATGTCCACAATTTGCAGTTCTCTGAATGGATCATTGTTTTAATTTGTCCCCTTCATTCAGCTCTATCTCTAAGAGTAGTCACTGTTGAACTTCATATTCTGCCATCTATTTATGTAAAATAAATAGAAAGACATAATTGCTAGCCATTCACAGCAACATAGAGGATTAGTACAAATCCTAAATGATGATAATTTAAAATGCAATGATTCTTTTTAAAAAAGGAGATACATGATAAAGAACAGTTTTCCTTAAGGTGTCTGACACCATCAGCCTGCAATGAATGTACTTTCAAAAAATTAAGGAACTTTCTTTTTTAAAATTTGGTACTATTTCAAATGGAATTCTTTTCTTATTTGCTTAAACACCTTTCACATGATATAAAATATTTTTCAAAATACATTGCCTAAACTTAAAATACAGTTCTTCAGTATCAGCCAGCCTCAAACAAAAAGCTCTTTAAAAGTCTCACTAATTTCTGGATCTGTTCTTTCCAAGATGCCAAAACTCTATCTTTTATTGTTATTATTTAAATTGCTAATCTTGTCCATGAACTCTACAATTAAAGAAAATCCTAAAAAAAATAAACATTTTAGTTTGTAAATTCTTAGTGCTTAAGATAGAAATCTCTTTCACAGTATTGACTGTTCTGCTGTAATGGACATTAAACAAATAAATATTTTAAAAAGAGGGATAGTTATTGAAATTAGATTGCTGTTTTCTTAAAGTACTCCTGGAAAAAACAAATAAAGTATGTCATTTATTTGTTCCTTTCCTTTTCTAGCACAATTTCGCAAAGAAGTACAAAATACATTTGGGGTGGAATGTATTTTTATCGTGTGCCAGTCTATCTGCATATATGATGAGGCTTGACCATTTCTTTGCACAATGTGTAAGTCTGTGGTGTGTCTTGAGGAAATGAAAGGAGAACAGATTGCCATCCACTCGTGTAAGTCTTTGATGGAACTGTTCACATTGCAGCCGGGAGAGTCCCAGCTTCATTATTATTGATAATACTATTTTGTTAAATATCAGCTTTATTATGCTTAACTAATTACCCAATTTCACTTATTTTCCTCTAAATTTTAATTGATAAGATAGCTCAATGGTGTTAATTAAACCTCTCCTTACAGAGGCAATTTCTTTGTATTTCTTAATGTTTGTCTTTCTAGCTATGGAATTTACACTAAAAACATTTCTGGGGGAAGTGAATGTATCTATCATTTTTGGATTGTTTAAAACTATTAATAAAATATTAAAACTGTTTCTGGGTAAAGATAGAATAGATTCTATGTAGAGTAGGAACTTGTTTTCTTCACCTCCTTTGTGCAATATTTTCTCGGGTCTCCCCACACCTGGGGAGCAATTTAGACATTTTGTAAAAGATTTCCACCTTCGAAGCTCATGCAAAATCATGCTAATTTTTGAAAAATAATTCAGGAGAAACCTGAAGATATTTTGGGGATGGGAGGTGTAGCCTCCCATGGCACTCTCAGACAAGCAACATTGTTTGGTGCAAGCGGCGAAAACACGACCTGTTTACATGTGTATTCAGCCATGAAATTGAATATTATCAACGTTGAAAAAATGCAAATCAAATTAAAACCAGGGGAAATTGTATTTGGAATTACAGCAGCCTGGACCCACAAAGTATTTGCTTATATTGAAGCTTTTAGAAAATGAATAAACTTCTAAATATTCCCGCTCCCCGCACTGCCTTAGGTACGAAATGTGTTCTTTAATTCTACTGGAAATATATTGGGGCTCAGGCATCAATTATTAGCCCTAGACATCCATCACTTTGGAATATAACTTTTCTTCAACAATTAAATGTCTCCCTTTGTACCTGTTACTAAAGTCAGGCCCGCGTCAAAAACCGAGCGGCACCCGCTTTTCTCATTCCGAAGTCAGGGCCAAGTCTCCGGCGGTCAGACACGTTTGTGCTACCTGCGGGTGGCGGGGGAACCCTCTGCGCAGCTCCGCGAAGCCAGTCGCCCTACGCCCGGGTCAGCTGAGCCCCCGACCCGCTGGGACCCTCCGGGTGCGCGGACCCGGCTGTCGCACGTCCGGGTGCGCAAAGCGCGGAGACGCGGCGGAGCGCGGGGTCTCGCCCGCCCAAGGCTCATTTTGCTAGCACCGGGCTTCCCGGGCCTCGGTGCTGGAGGCCGAGAGAGGAAAGTGCCAGATACATATTTTTTGGAAAACGAAAGAGAATCGGGGCCTAGAAAAGCAATGGCCAGAGGGGCGGTCATTCTTGCCTTCTTCCAGATCCTAAAGGGGAGCGAGGGCAACTCGAGGTGGCCGCTTCCACCCCTGCAGCCAGGGCGCCACGAACTTCATTCCTGTCTGCGGCTTCCGCCTGCTGCCGCAGTCGCCGGCACCGGGAGCTGCGGGCAGGTGCCCGGCGGCCGCGTCCGGACCGAGCGCGGGGTCCGCGCGCACGGTGCACAGGTGCCGCGGTCCCGCCTGCGGTCGGCGTGGGAGCCGCGCAGGCAGCCACGCCCCCGAACCCTAGCTGGGACCGCCGTGGCGGCTGGGGTGTGCTGGCTGGGCCTTGGGAAAGCTTGCATCTCTCTGTGTCCTCTGAGGATTTTAACTGGTCCCGCGGCCCCAGCGCCGGAGCCAGGGTACGGCCGCGAGCGCTCGGGGCGCCCTGGCGTTTTCTCCCCAGGGAGGGTAGGCGGTTGGCGGTCACTCCGGGCTCCCTCCCGGCCTCCTCAGTCCACGAGGAGTTGAGGGGCAGCCCTGTTCCAGACACGGAGGAATCAGTCAGCCGACCGGGTGAGCGCGGCGGGGAGCAGGGGAAGCCGGCTCCTGTTTGAGGCCTGCTGCCGTATTTCGTTTGCGGGCGCCCAGGTTGCCGCTGAGGAAACAGACCCACGTTCCCCAGTTATTAACCTGCCCACCAGCTGCGGTCGCGTTTTGGAGGCTTGGGGCCCAATTTTTAAGGAGAGTTGTGGGGGCACGCTTACGTACATTTTCAAAAGGAAGCAAAGAAAATAGCAACCAGTTAAAAGGAAATATTTTTATTTGCCTCGCACGTCGTCGGTGATTTGCCCCTGGGGATCCACAATTTTCCCAAGCCTGTTAACGGGCGACAATGAATGAGTGCCTCGTGTAATTTAATTTTCCTGTCACACTAAATAGAGCTACATTGTAAACCTTAGATCTACTCGTACTGATAAGATCGCCTTGTTTTGCCATTTGCACTATAAAGACCCCCCAAAAGGGACACTGTATTGTGACCTCTCCTCTTGAATTATTCAAGAACTTAATGACATTTTCCATTTTAAAAAGGGAACTAATTGCCATTGATGTAAAAGCCTGTGACCTTCTCTGGGTACCCAGTATGAGAATGTAATCATCTGTCTGGATACAAGAGCGGCAGAACAGGAGAAAGATGCAAACATAAATGAGCTAAAAATGAATATTGGAATCAAGCATATTGTATCATTCCCCCAAAGTTCTCTTACCTGACCTAAAATCTGTATGAAATCTCACATCAATTCAGGCCTGGTTTTTTGGGGGGGTTGGGGGGGATGGGAGGAGAAGCTTGACATGGCTTTTTAGCTAGGATAGGAACATTTAAAATTTTGAAATCCCACATCTCCTTATTAATGTGAAATTACTCTGTGGGGTGTCAAAAGTCTAATAATCTGCTCCCCCCTTTGGGTGGAGGTTTTCTTAATCTACTTTCTTACTCCATAGGAAAAAGAAAGTCACACCTGTAAAGAAATTGCACCTCAGCATTTGCATTAATCGAGTTTCCATGAAAAGTGGCATTGATATTCTTCAAAAGCAGAATTCTCACTCTTCAAATTACTTCAAAATGGATGCTTATCTTTCCTCAAAGAAAAAGCCTCCCTGTGTACTTCCTGTTGTCTTTTCAGTTTTCTCCTGGCCTCAGGAGGAAAGCAAAAGGAGCAAATGTGGGCTTTTACCAATGTTATTTGGCTCCTTACGTTCACAGATCAGCGTACAAAGATCCTGTCATGGTTTTTCTGATTTACCTAAATCCACAGCCAATATTAACCATTTTAGAAGCAATTGTGAAGTAAAACACTTTCCTGTGCTGGGCTTGCCAATACTTTTGAATTTTTAAGTGATGCTTGGGACAAGGGGTCATCATTTCTGCAGAGAATGGACGGTCCCTTTTTAATAAACACATTCTGGCTTCATTGAGAGTTAATATCGTCTCTGTGTTAGACTCTAAGTCATCTTTATTTTGCAGAATTTCTGGAAAAGAAAATAAAGTACATTTGAACACCTAGGTTGACTCTAAGAAATCCCAAATTCTATCAAAATGTTTGGCAGAATTGCTGCTGTTGTGCCTGGAGTCATATGCAAAACAGAAAGCCTCATACTGCATTGTGGACATATACTAAGTGTTATTTTAGCGGAGTTTATCATAAAACCTTTATTAGCCAAGTTGTGTAATAGAGCAACTAACTGTCTTTGTATTTCTTCAAAAGAAACCTGTTTTCCTTCTTGGTACGATGTGCTCTTTGTGTACAGTAACATGGCAGAAAAAAATTGAATAAGGATACATAGTTCTTATTGTTAAATAATAAGGACACACTTAAGGAATACATTTGAAAACGTTTTCAAATCAAGAAAAGTTGCCCCATGTATGGAATGGGTGGTGACCCACCATCTTGCATATTCCTTGTGATAAAAGGCATACTTTATGGATCAAGTGTTAATTTAGTTTTAGAGATTTTTCATTCCATTCTCCACATTTAAAAATACCTTCACAACTTGATGCACACTAAAAGACAAGGAAGAAATTCTATGTATTTCTCACAGTAGTCCATACTCTCTCTAGCATTCTCCAGTATTATAATCCAGTAATTTCTCCACAGTGATGGTATGCATTTAAATTGAAAACTTCATTCACCTTTCAAACTGTCCTCGTGGGTAAGTTACAGGATTTTTTTTTTCTTTTCATCTTGAAAAAAAAAAGAACTGTCTTGATAAAGGACCACTTGAACAAAATTTTAAATACTGTGGAAAGTTTGTGGCATTTTTAGGGCACAGCCCTCTCCTTATTTTCTTTCTGATCTCATCTTCTGAATGGATTTCTGTGCTGACCATTCAGAGAGCTCGGAGGAGGGAATTTGTCTTTACTGAGCCTGAGCGGTTGGTTCTAGAGAGGTGTACAGGAGACTGATTTAGGGCCGTGTTTCATCCAGCTCCTATCCCTATCTGCCCCTTCCCTCCAAAACAAAAACCAACTTTAAAAAGCTTTCCCATTTGGCTTTTGTAAAGGGTAAATGAAATTCCTGTCCCACACGGTAGCTATGACATTTTACTTGTCACCTGTAAAATGGGTCTTTTATTTCTCCATTAAGCCTGGTATGAAGAAATCACTGGGGCTTTGTGGTCACATCTCTTGGTATTGGAGGAGATCGGGAGCATCCTGCCCTCTGGCTATCTTTAAATACGCTATGCACACATTGGAAGAGGAAAATGAAGCAATTATTGAAGGGAAAATAAGTTAGCTCATGACACCTAGGCAGATAGATTATCAGGCCAGCCTGCCTTTTTTCATATCTAATTTCTTCAGTTTTCCAAGTCCGAGTAGGCATCCAACAGCTGCAGTATGCCTGCAGCCTGGAGGTCTTGTCTTTTTCCATTCTTTTGCCCTCAAGTCAAAAAGAAAAAAAATGTGCATGCTTTCACTCTTACTCCTGAATTTTTTACACCTTTTGTTTCTTCCTTTAAGGATTTTAAATGCTGACATATGATTTGTAAAATGCCAGAGGTAGCAGCCATCTTATTTTATTTATCTGAATGTTTGTACCTACATATATATACTGGACTTCTGACTTCATTTTTCTTCCCCTAAGAAATGACATTAAGATAGCTCAACTCTAACATGATTACTAAAAATACCTTTAGAGAAGTACTCAGTTTCTTCTGTTTAATAAATATTTATAAAAGAAACATGGATTGGAGTCTGGCTCCGTGTCAGGATTCTGCTTATGCATGGAGCCTTGTCCCTGACAAGGAAGATGGCTGCTTTGCCACTCAGCAACGACATTTTCCAGCATGATTAAATGTGGCTGTCGAAGTAGAAATACCCTGTTCTGGTGTGTTCTCTTTCCTCATGGAGCTCAGCAGGCATACAACTCTTAAAGGATTTTCCAAATGATGAGTGAAGTTCACATGTTATCATACCTGTCTATAGGGTGCCGAATAAGTGTTTAAATCATGGAGTAATTAAAGCATGGATAATATATGTCTTGAGTTCACCAAGGCTCTAGGCACATAAGGCATTTTGTTTTGTAATGAGAACAGACTTTTCAAAACATGGCATCAGGATAGAGTTAACTTTTCAACAAAATTCTACTGGCTGCTTAACTCTCCTTGACTGCATTCTTTTTTTCTCTAGATAAGCTTATTCATGGCTACTGGAACAAAAAGATGAGAAGAAGGAAGGACATTTGCTTTCCTAAGCGCCCCGTGTGATGAGAGCCCACGCCCTTCTCCCCACGCTGAACTTGACTATCACAAGAGTGTCCCCAGAAGGCCATAACCCTGCAGTCAGGTTGCTCCTGGAGGCTTTCCTCAGTTTGCAATGAATATCAACTAAGTAACGAGACACAAAAGCAGGCTGTTAATAGAGGGGCGATGGTCCAAGTCCAGATGGGTGTTGTGGATGCATACAGAGCTCGCAGGATCAGGGAAGAGGGAGCATGAAAATCGAGATGGGAACACTTGGGTGGAACCACCAGACCAGCAACCACTAGAATCTGTCAACACAAGGATACTAAAATGTGAAGTGTTAATTTGTTCTGCTTCACAAATTTGGGTTGTGACAGTCAAGTTAACCAAGTGGCGTTTAACCCCCCTGGAAGTTACTAAAGCTTATGTTGAATAAACAATGATGAGCAGCCAATTTTTATGAATCCTTGGCCTAAGAGCAGGTGACTGGCCTGATGTCATTACTTTCTGATGACCAAAAAAAAGTCCACAAACTCAGAGTGACTGCTTGGGGCAGAAGAGGGTCTAATGCCCGTTCCTTTTGGGCCTTTCTTTGCCGGCTGATAAAGCATGGGAAGTAAATTCCAGCCTCAAAGAAAGGAGAGAAGCCGCTGGCGTGTAAACAGGCCTGTGAGCCCCACAGGGCGGGCAGAGCAGGCACACTTTCCCCAGAGCCCTGAACCTAGCAGGTGCTGTTCGTGTGAACATCCCCAGTCACAGATGTCAAAGCCTCTGCTCTCTGTCTGCCATGGCTCACACGTGCCACACTGCCGATGACACAGTTAGAAAGGAAAGGGGTGGCCGGGACTGGGGCATGGCCAGTGTGGACAGAGCTTTCCTGTTCTTCATACCATTTCTATATTGGGATGAAGAAAGGCATAAAAGGGATGGAAGTCAACCTGTTTAAAGTAAAAAAAAAAATGTCAGTTCCAAAGCATACAGAGCACCTCTCCTTCTCTTTTGAAGACTGAATGTCTTTTACAAGCTGGCGATTTGCTGCACGGAGTTTTCAGCCATAATGTGATATTTTAGTGTCCTTTGTCTCTGTGGAGAGGGTTCAGAAGGCCCTTGAAGTCCTCAGCCTTAAATCCATGTTAATAGGGCAAGTTTTTTTTTCTTTTTCTTTTTTGGCAGGTGGGGAGGTTTAGTTGGAAGAAACATTGACCCAGACTGCACTCTGGGTAAACTAGGGCAAAAGGCCTGCTATCATCTGCAGGGTACTTATTAACCATTGCTCATTTGCAGGATCAATATTTCCAGCAAAGGAGTCAACACTCAAGATATACCATGACATCTCGATTTTTTTCCTTGACACACAATTTATTTTATAAATGCATCTGCTGAAGAAGAAAAGGCAGTATGAAGGACTGTGTCTTTTATCTCCGGGATATGCAAAGCACATTTATTTTCAGCTTTTATCTCTAGAATTGTATGTTGATCCCATACATATAGATTGATTTTGTTCAGGTAGATAATGAAAAGTGAGGTGGAAAATTACACAATGGCACTCACGATCCTAGTCTTATATTGGTATATAAATTGGTTTATTATTTCATTCTATTAAAGAGTTTTTTTTTCATATGAGGAAAACTTCAAAATACATCATGCTGTCAACGTCACCAAATTTTCTTTTTGGGGAGGAAGTGGGGGAGAGGGAGCAAAGGGAGGCAATTTCTTCTGGTCCCTTTGCTAATTGCATTGACTAAATAAGCTTTAGTAGAGAACGGTTCTTGAAGCTTTCTCTTGCCCAGCCACTTCAGGGTCACACATGTGGTTTCCGTAACTCTAGGACATTTCTGGGCCATAACAAATATGGCCATCATACTTGTCTTGTTACAAAGGTGGGTATTTTTTTTCACCCAAGGCAATTCTAAATTTTGTCACGATGACTGAAAGAGGCAAGCCCCCACTGAGCTCTGAGGGGCCAGGGGTGAGGGAGTGGCAGCCGGATAAAGGCCACTACCAAGGGACAGCTTGGAGCCAGAATCCTAGAGGAAACGTTATTAATAAACATCTTCTGGACATTTGGTAGCCCATGGAGCTTGCTCCAGCTTAAAGCAATTAATTCAGGACACTGACATAAACTCTCCAGGTCTTTGACAGCTTGGAGTCGAAATAAAAATGCTAGTTCTCCGGGGAAGAGAAGACGATGGCTAGCTCTTTTCTGGACTGTTTGCTTATAGGCCCAGAGAGCAACCTTCCTTGCAGAATGAAATGCAAGGGCACAAACAATGTACCAGGGAGAGAATAGAAGATGGGAATGAACAGTTTGAACTATTTGCTCAGCAGAAGGGCGCCGCAATGCTGGGGCAGTGTTTTTCCCAGGCATCCGCTGCCCCTTCTTTGGGATCTTTTGTTGTTCCTGGTGTCCTGTGGCCAGAGAAGAGCACAGCTGCAGCATTGCAGCTAAGTAAGGCCATGCTTATCCCCCTATATCTTGGGGTACCTCTACTGCCATGGGTTAGGCAGGGCTGCCTTTTATTTTACAAGAGATGGTGAAGGGGGAATGGGAGAATTCAGGGAGGTGGGAGGAGAGAGCACTGCCACATGGCCTGTGTCTCATTAGTGATTTTTCCCCTCTTTAAAATCCAAGCTGTGATCAGAATTAGCCTTTGTAGGACATTTAAACTGAACAGTTCAGAGATTTGTACTGGTCGCCAGGCCAAAATGATGCCTACTGGGGAAAGGAGGGGAAGGAGGTGTGAGTCTGAGGACGGGGGGTGGGTGGGGGTAGGGTTGGGGGTTGAGGCAGAATTTTTGGTTTAAATAGGCCTCTGGCTGTTGGAAAGTTTTGAATTGGCAATTTGAAAACTGCTCAGTGGTGATTTGTCAATTCTGAAAACCATTTTGTACTCCCCTTTCCACACTTACTTTATTCAGAATCCTAGTGAATAGAAGTTTTTAGAATCAGAGGAAAAATAGGATGAGAACTGGAGATGGGACATAACATATACTTTCATAACTGCCACAAATGACTGTCTAATCAGAGTAAATGTCACCTAAAATAAAATCAAAATGTTATTTCATATTTCCTCTTTTAGTGTCAGAGCCTATTTTAAATGCCATTAGAGAAAGTAGATGTGATAATAGTATAAAAATACGTACAAAACATAGTTTACGTAAGTTGATTTTAAAGTAAAAATCGAACCTACGTTTGCACTGTCATGTATGTTCTGACTCAGTGGGTTTTGGCATCGATGTTGGTTTTCGGAGCCAGGCTACAAAGCTTAATTCTATTGAAATAAATTTTATTTAGCCTTAATGGTTTTATAAGGTGAAAAGGCAAAAAGTTTAACACCAAAGAAAATTAATGGTTTACTGTGATTGCCTTAAACATTCACAGGCCAGAGCCCACCTGTGGGAAGAACAAAGTTTCAATGCTGGTTTTTTTTTTTTCCACACTAACAAAACTCGGAGAAAAAAACCCTTCTGTATATTTTTCCTGCTGGGTGGTCAGAAGGAAAGGCCAGGAAGCCAAAGGCCTCCCATTGAGACGGTGCTGCAAAAGAGCAGACCTCACGTGCGGCCGCCCGCTGTGGGGGATGAGCGCACCTGTCGGTGTGGGGCGGGCAGGGTGAACGGCGCGCTGGAATGGCCTTGCGCCCGCCCCGCGCTGACAGGAGCTCCAGCTGGGAGCACCACCCGACGAGGCCCCGCCCGGCTCCATACATCCTACAGAATGTCCGCGTGGCCACTGTCCAGTAGAGGTGCAAACTAGTTTTAATGTCTGTGAGTATTACGTTTGATTAAAAGGGTTTGTGAGTGTGCGCACTTTCCCGCGCACCTGTCTGTAGGGGCGTGTATGTGTGTGTTTTCTGGCCTGTATGTAATACAGGAAGAGGGGATGGAATATGGGGAAGAGTTCTATTTAGACATTGCAAATGTTTGCTAGCACCATGAAATCTTTTTTTAAAAGGGATCCTATAAAACACACCCTTATGTATGATTTTGTGTAAACATGCATGGATGGATAACTGTTTTTCTCTACAAGGGTTGTGATAAACTATCAAGTACAAATGGTTGTGTTTTCTTCTGCAAGCACAAATTTACAAATTTGTATTTAGTACAGAAATATTATCACATAAGAAAGGACAGACATCTTTTTTTTTCTGATTGGCTGTTTAGACTAAATGCACCCCATCTTTATGAAACCTGAGGCCAAGGTGAGGAAATTGTAGCCTGCCTGAGTAAATGTGTTACCTTCTCTAACTCTTGACATAAAGAAAAGTTATTCCAGGGAATTTTTTCCAGCATGGCATTTACGAATGATATGAAAATCATGTTGAATCGCTGTGGGTAACTCAAAGGAACAGCTTTTCTCTTTCCGAGATAATGAATTTCTATGAGAGGGGAAATTGTTTTTTATTGTTAATTTCAGCAAAGAACTGCATGCAACTGGTATGCAGTACAAAGCTGCACGTGTTGGGAGGCCTCTGAGGGAGGAGGAATGTCCCAGCAGGAGGCCAAATGCACAAATAATGAATCAAGTTTAAAAGACTGGTCAGAGGCAAGGAGTGAGTGATACTGATCTTATATGAGACAGGCTTGGACGTCACACCAGCTGCCAGTTGGTTTGATTAATGAGGCATTAAGCAGATGGAGTGACACTTTCAGCTAGTTACTTATGGTGCTAATTTCAAAACACTTTGCAATAGACAAAGAGACTCTGCTCATGATGCAAAGTAATTTGTGGTGTGTTCCTGGTGAATGCATTTAGCCAAGCAAATATAGTTATGTAGAATTTAAATTAAGGTTGGCACTAATGTAAACAGAGCCCAAGAACCACTGTCCAATAATTTGATGAGGACACAGGTTTTAATCAAGGCTCTTCCACTAAAATAGCAATTTAAATCCCAATCATTTAAACTGGATAAAATGCTTAAGCCATGAAGGGTTGGGGAAAAACAGAAAATTATTAGAAAAGAAACAAGAAACACAATGTCTCTGGGGAAACTCTAAGTCTACATTGACCCAATAGACGGATATCCATATTGGTTTAAATATCAGGTTGATTTCAAGGCCATATATCAAGAAATTGAACGTATTTGCCATGTATCTTTTTTGTTGTTATGAGTTACGATTTAACACATTCTGGTAATAATCTTAGAATAAAAATGATCCTGGTAGTGAGAAAATGGAGACTTAAGCTGATTCAGAGACCCTTGAAGTATTTATTTTATCTATTAAATCAAGAAATACTGCCCCACAACCAATTTCTATTTGAACTGAAAAATTCCCAAATGTCTGGCTGGTGTGGAGACAGGCAGGGTAAGGGAGCTGGGCTAACCATCTTGAGGGTTAGCTTTTCCAGAAGGTAGAAACACACTCATCTATGGCTTTTCCTGGCTTTGCTAGTTTATTTCCCTTACTTCAAATCAATGGGGGCACTATGGGGGGATCACCCCAGGCATTAAC